AATGGATTAAAGGTGTGATGTTGTTGATACAAATCAGAATTTAAAAACTGAATGGGTATATAAATACATATGCTACATCAATCTTTAAAGACCGAAATGTTGCAAAGCATCTGTCCGACCTCCATGACAAATATGTTGTTGTCACCGCAGATAAAGCCTTTCACAAAATCGTTTTTGTGTGTAAATCCCATTGCATAAACTACTTAAAAAATAAATAAGGTATTTACTTTTCACTTGGGATACCTAAATTAAATAATTGTTATTACAAACAATGTTATATATTGCTGGGTTTTCTTAGTTCCCCAAAAAACTTCTTTTTAAATTATTAACATTGATTTTATCAGCAATCAAAGCCGGGCTTAAAACAAAATGTGAAAATACCTATTCTAGAGGCGGTGTGATTTAAATATGGATACTAAAAAACTCCAAACACCTGTTAAAGTACATACAATCTAAGACTATTTCATTTTGCAGTAGTATTAAAACTTTTAATTTTTCTAGCATTACACAGGTATTCCACATTCCAAACTAAAAGACAAATTAAAAGAGTTATTCCTGCGTTGTTCCATAGACAAATATGGCCAACGTAGATACAAGTATCTTGTCTCATGGGCATACGATAAAGTTTTGATCCCACGGTGATATTTTTTTATGACAATGTACCTATAAGCAATTTTACACATAATCAATTCAAATATGTAATAACAAATATATCTTTATGCGCTAAATTTAGAGTTAAATGGGGTCGAAATTTTAGATATTTACTTAAAAGTTTGATTTCTATGCCATTTCTATCCTTTGGATATGAGTACTTAACTGTTTGTTCCCAAAAGAAAAACGCATGCGGAATTTTGTAAAAAGACTATGAATGTCTTCTCTATAGAAGTATGCTCTTAATTTGTGTAAGAATTCTTTGTAAATTATACATTTTTATTAAATTTGCATGATTTTAGAAAACAAAACCAGCCTTTATTGTCAAAACAACATAACTCTTTTATTCAAAAAATGCTGTATTTTATAGTCTCAATGCAATGTGTACTGCAAATTTTGCAAATACACCAATATTATTTTATCGAATCTTTCTAGTATATCACGGTGAAAGTATTGAAAGAAAACAGAAATACTGCTTCCTAGACCCTTGCAACACGCATCTTTGACAATGTGGTGTCCAGGTTACTCCAAAAAGTCAGAAATATAAGTTATTTCATTTAAAGTATCAGCAAAAGAAATCCACCGTGTTTAATGTAACTATACAGAACTCAGAGTCTATGTTAATTCGTCAATGATCAGATGTATTTTCGGAGTGTAGCTAACTTTCGAGAAATGGAAAATCTCACATATTCAGCAGCAAAAGTCAATTTGCCAATTAAAAAAGTGTGTAGCATTCCTTTGCCTTATCGGGACTAGCCATTCCAGTTAAATCATCTAAATATATATAGTTTATAAAATACTAGACTTATACATGTAATGTAATTGTCGGAATAGATGCATATACAAATATTTGTCTCTTGGCTTTGTAAATCAAAATCACATCATTTAAAACATTGTATACATTATTCCCTACAGTAAACAACACAATCATACCGAGAGTACACTAGTTTCAATTTTTCATGACCTAAATGGTAACCTTTTTCATTACAAGCATATACTTAAACAGTACTACCATGGCATCTGTCTTCAATTACTCTTCGGTGCCATAATGGTTAAGAACGTAATGCATTAACTGGCTTAGCTCGAATCTCGTTTTCAACAAAGGGACCAATGTTTCGGTTTCTTATAAGTTTCTGCTGTACATACTTGTCAATTGCTGATCCAACTATCTTTGCAAAAGTATTGGTACGCATTCGAAGGTCCGATAAAGATTAGAGTGTAAATTTAATTGGCCAAACAAACTCTAAAATTATCAAAAACCCTTGATCATGATAACTGAGAATTTCGCTAGTTGGAGATATTCATGTCAGTAATAACTGGCAGTTGACAGCTTGATAGTTGTTTTATCCTGTAAGATAACGTTTAAATTATATCTTTAGTGGCTTAACAAAATTCAGCAAAGAATATTTACTTAAATCTGGATAACACGAGAAGTCCGACTTGCTTTGAAAACCATAAATACATAATGTTACAGTTAGAAGTGTAAATCTGCATGTCATATACTCATTACCTGCAGCAAGATCTAACAAACACGGGTACACATCCAAATAGTTGACGGCTCATATTGTAGCAAACTACTACTAACAACATGAACAATAGGTTTATCTAAATTGTCGCCTGATACACTAGTTTTTTTATGTACAAAAGAAGAAAAATCCATTACATCGATCTTACAGTTGGAAAATAGCACACATGAATTAACTAACAAAAATGCATAAAACATGAACCATCTAAATGACTGATTGTCTTGTATAAATCCGACTTTCAATTCTAAGGGTCACTTGTGTATTTGTAAAGCACGGTGTGTGGTTTTGCAGAAGGTTTTCATATTGAGTCATATGTGGTTTTCCTTCAGGAACATGTTTTCTGCAGAGGGAAATAACTTCTCATCCTCAAAATTTTCAAATTGATCATCAGATGTTGGCGGAAGATAACAAACTGAAAACAAAAACTCCCCAGTAGAGACCGACAAAATTATGGCACAACTAAAATCGGCAAAAAAAAATAATTGCATAATGATTGTAATGCCTAAAGGTAGTAAAAGCTGTTTCTTAAAGTTTTGCAATTTTAGACTGCTAAATAGTTTTAAAACCAGCTGTTATTGCCATTTATTTTTTTGTTTGATAATGGTTCATACAAATAAATTTCTTTCTTTCTCTCAGAATCAGTTGAAGAACCGGAGTCTGTGTCACTTAGCTTCACTTAGGATTAGCATTACGATATTTAACTAGTGGTTATTTGTGTGTATCAAATCAAAATAAGGTGACATGGTATGATTGCCAATGAGTCAACTATTCACCCGAGTCAAATGAGGTTCACGTTCTTCGATTGTTATCAATCGTAAAAAACACAAAAGAATTAATTTTATTGACCGATATTTCTATGAATAGTGAGGAGACTTTCACTCTTCTTACCAAAAAGTATTTATTTTGTCTGATTTCGATGATTACAATGACAATCGCTACGTACGTACATGTATCTGTCTTAAAATATTTCGTCATTGTTGGTTTAAATTCATGTGAAAGTATTGAACTTAATCATGTACGCAATCGTGGATAAACTTCAAACTTCATCAAACGAGTAAAAACTGAGAGTTTAAAGTTCACATTAAATACTCTGTTCGATCCACAAATGGGGATGTACTTTCCCCTGACAAAATCTCTTATACGGTGTCATCACTAAAGCTAATAAAATGTGCCTTTACAACCCGGGAACATGTAAAACTGACGCTGACATTAATTATAATTTAGAAGACATTAATTATGAAATATAAAAGGCAGCACTAGTTTACCGACATTTAAAATATTCATGAAGAAGACACAAATCAAGTTGCAGCTTAAAATCTGATGGTATCGCATGAGCTTAAGAATGAGCTAGACCGGGTAAGCATGCATAATGTTATAAATATTTTCATCATAAACGGTCTACAAAATAAGATAGTTAGCGATAAAAAAGAAGGCTGTAAATTGGAATTGAGAAAACAAGCATTTATTTACACGCATCAAATGTAATCAAAAACAGAATTATGCAAAACATTTTTTCTTTAAGTGGTCCAAAAAGGTTGTATACACTTTCCTGTGAATTTAAAAATTATAAACTATATACTTTCAGTTCAATATTCTTTCAAGAAATCATAAGAGTGTTATACTTGTAAGTTTATCACAATGAATGAGACATTTTGGGAGCATGTATATAAATAGATAATATCACGTTATGTATTGGTATATAACATAGATTATGTTATGCTTATGCTGCTTATATTGTACAAAGAGAGCAAAGAGCATTCGCATTTTTACTATGTATTTGACCACGAAAATTGTAAACCTTGACTTTTAAATCATAGCTACGTGTATTTATTTCCTTCAACATCCCATTTTCCTTTGTATGACAAGAGAAGACCAGGCATGACCATAATAAACTGAAGACAAAAAATAGTGCAAAAAGTTTGGTTCGACATCTGGTTTGCATATCATTGTCGATTAACAATAGGTCAAAAAAGTGAAAATTAAGTTGTTCATATACTAGAATTATATACCTATATGGATTCATGTCCTTTAAGAACAATAGGTCTTTCATTTAAGGAAACAACCCGGGCCATTTCTCAATGAAATATACTTCATTACTTACCTTGATTATAATGCATACTAGAGTCCGTTAAAACATTTAATTCTTGTGAAAGTAGTACTATGTTGATGCCAACGGAGGTTTTCTGTGTAATTTTCAATATGTAATGCTTTATTTAGGATTAAGGCAGAAACTTTATTAGAAATATCAGAAAACGTCGTTATCGCACAGATTACCCTTTCGAAAAGAACAATTTTACTTTTTGATAATGCATCGCTACAATAAAGTGACATTGCGTATAAGAAAGGTAAAACGGGATACAATTTCCTGCAAAATAATCATTTCATTAGCTGATATATTTCGCTCAATGTAGGACCAGCTAAACAACAATGCGGTTTCCGTTTTAAACAGTTGCATCAAAACATCGTGCAGTACAATTTACAACCACTGGAGGGCATCAAACGTGTTTACATTTCACTTACATTTATACGGAACTATGTGCTTCTGTTGATACATTGTATTGCAATAATTGCAACTCTTTAAAATGTGCAAATTTTTTTTTTCAATTTTCATAAACAGAATGACAGTTATGTTATTACTGGCGATAATTCATCCTCTTAGAAAGTTCGAATGGAGACAGTTTTACTGATCTTAGAGATATCAAAAACTTTCACATTTGTCATTTAAATATATAAACAATTTGCAGTAAGAATTTGTTGCTCGTACTTTATAAAATTGTCGACTAATCAATACATTCTCTCTTAAGGTAGACTCTTCTTTTGAAGGTATCTTAGTTACTGGCTTAAAGATACAGCACAGAGGCCGTACTGACCATGGAGGACATAACTATGATGGTATGATTGTGAAATTTAACAAGTATTGGGGGATAAATGTGATATTTTTTATCTGACAAATATAGTGAATAACCTTAATGTTAAATGTAGATGTTTTTTCTACCAATAGAACAAAGTTATGGTTTGAAACACTGACTTTTAATGCTGGTTTAAGTGATTGTTATCATTAAGATCTACTTTTACAACGCTATACACCATAGTGTGTTAACATCAAGACACAATATACATTTTTTTAAATGTTTGTGTCTGAAAATACTTTAGGGATCTTGACAATATTAATGTTTTACACGATTCAAGTTAACGTATAAAAGAGATTAACTTAGTTTACATTTATTTTGAAACTCGATATACTGAGATAATAACTTCTCATGTACCATGAACTATACATCTAAAACTTGAGAAAAGCTTTTTTAACAACTGAGCGCATTTGTTGCTATCTTACACATTTTTTTTTCTTTTTACATTTTAATCTACTGTATGCGCTGTTATTAGCTGAAAAGGATTAACGAGTCTTGTAATTGAAATAGTTAGATCAGTTATTTCATTTCCGATAAACATGCAGATATAATTGAATTACTTTTTTATTTACTTATATTTAAATATTAAAAATGTGTAAGTATAGCATACATATATCTTGTGTTAGATATTATCCCAAATAACTAATTAACTGGGAAACTTAGCCCAATGTTGTAAGCTCGGTAAATTGTTACACAGTATGTGCATTAAATTATATAATTGTGTTAACAAAATAGGCTAGAACTCGTTTATATATCAAATTATCAAAACACTAGACGAAAAACTGTTTTCCTCTAAAGTAAACCTTGCCTGTAAGTATACTATTGGTCGTTGATACTAGTCAACATTACAAATATGAAAATGCAATTTATTTTATTACATTTTCCAGTTGTCCTTACTCTAAAGACAAAACATGTGGAATTTGAAACAAATCTTTCCGTTACATGTATAGTAGAGCATGAATGTACGGTGAACTCGTGGTCGGTAAAGGAACAAAACGGAACATACGAAACTATAGTCAGAGAGTCAACACCATTCAACAGAACAAAGTATGGAGCACAACTGAGTAAAATGGAAAGAAGGACCATTTATATATTGATTATTTATCGTTTGGAAAAAAATGATGTACATAATGACTACCGCTGCGATTGCGATACTCACTCCGGATACATAACTGACATGCATGACAAACTTATATGTAAGTTCTTAAACATAGCATAATTTAGTTAAGTACGATAAGCACGTTTTCCAGTTCATGTTTAAATCTTAATGAAAAAAATAGTGATGGGCTAAAGTAAAAACGAAACAATCATTCTGTACATTATATCATTTATGAAATATTCCATACTGCATTTTGCAAAAACTGAAAAAGGTTTGTTTGTGAAATATTGAAACCTTAACGATTTGCTTATTTTAGTCTTTTTAGTTCTATTCAGGGTTTCTTTTTAAATGTTGGCTAAATGTAAAACTGCACACTCACTTTTTCGAAAACTATTAGTGCACGTTCTCTCTTTCTTTCTCTTGAGTAGTGACGTTGTCGGAAAATTGTTAATCTAATTCAATGGTCCTCCCACTTATATAGTTCATATTTCATATTAATGCATACAGGTTTTAATTACCGCTTGGATCAAAAATCAAATATGATTTCTTGAATACTTGAATAAGTTGAGGAGTTATATGACCAAACAGGACATAAAAAAGCGACGATCTAAGGTCTAGAATGCCGGAAGGAGTTGAAACCTTAATTTCTTGAATTTAGAATTGTTAACAACGGATGATTCAAGAAAAGTATGAAAAATTCATTTAAGTACCGATGCACTTAACACTTAGCTAAGTTCACCCTTGGGGATTAGCAGTCAAATAGAAGGCCTTTGAATAATGTAAACTTCTCACTTACACCATACAACATTACACCATGCATCATTACACAAAACACAGAACAAGGGAACAGTTTGTGTTACTCTCAATGTTCTTTCTATGTTAAAGAGAGGCAAAAGATACCAGAGGGAGGTTCAAACTCATAAGTTGAAAATAAACTGACAACGCCATGGCTAAATTATTTCACTAAACAGCTAAGCAACATCATGATATCTTAACCAGTCGATATTTGGAAAAAAATAATTTTCTTAGTCGTAGGAATGGAGAACTGTTGATGAAGTGTGTTGTACAATTAACAAGGTCACATTACACACTATGTTATAAATTGTGTCAGTTTCTCCCGCCACATTTCTGTACTATATGTACAATGTAGTAACCATTTTTGGGGGTGTTTTTTTCGGCCAGTTACGTCCAAAGCAAAATACTTTCGAATTATACGAAGAAAAAGCACCTCTCCAGATCTGAAAAAGAGAGGCAAAAGATACCAAAGGAACATTCATACTCATTTAAATTTAAAAAAGAGAAAGACCAACAGACAAACAATAGTACACAAAACACAACATAGAAAACTAAAGACTGAACAACACGAACATCACCAAAACTGGGGGTGATCTCAGTTGATCCAAAAGGGTAAGCAGATCCTGCTCTACATGTTGCACCCGTCGTGTTGCTCATGTTAGTACAAACCCGGTTATAAGTCTAATTCGATAGGTTACAGGGAAAAGGGGACGGGATTGTAGTCACGACATTAGGAACATATGCGCTATTATATGTGAAACGGATATTCCATAACAGTCACCCAACTTGTGATGGCGTCCATAAAACTCACGAAGGAATGCTTTCAACTTCACCACTTAGAACTCTTGGTTTAATAGCTTCATTGTAAGCAGCAACCCTCTATCAAGGAAATCGTGTTAGGAAATAAAAGCCCTGGAATATCGTAAAAATGGGAGACATATACTCCGTATGCAGGCGCTGCTGGAATGTTATTACATAGAAATGGAAAGTTCACAATTGGGAAGCTGAAATCAACTCTTTTCTCGTAAAGTTTTGTTTTCAACTGACCATAAGGCTAGTGCAAATAAAGAAGTTAACCAATTTCTTCTTAATTAATTTTACGCTAGGGCACTTTTTGTCTGTTCGATTTGCTCACCCAATTTTGTCAATCTAACGGAACTATAAACAACTGGCATACCAATTGGAAGTTTAGCTAGCTATAAAATCAGATTTTTTCACTTGTTCTGTTGATTGACAGCGTTTAATTTTGACAGTTTTTATGAACTTCTCCTTTTAGAATTTTCCTTGGAGCTCGGTATTTTTCTGATACCTTTTTTTCTAAAGCTCTTACAATCCTTTTCAAAGTACGGCATATCTGGTTGTTGTGTGTACTTTGTGGATGTAATAATGCTGAATTACAAATTATGTTACCGCATAATGACTGCCTGTGTAAGGATGTTAATTATGACGAAACGTCAACTTGTATGGTTTGGGAAGGTTTTGATCATATTTAAACTGTCCAAACAATTTGTGAAAGCTAGCAATATTTATTCAAATATTCAAATATTTTTTTCCTCATTTTTATGACATCACTGTGACACCACATATGACATATCTGCATTTAATGTCCAGATTGTTTCAATTTGTTAATAAAAGTAACTAAACTTTGAACGGCTAGAGTATAATAGTAGTTTCGTATTATTAAATCCCTAAGATTCTGTTCATTTTCGACCAAAAAATGTTAAAGACTAACAAATTTAATAAGAAGATACAAAGCAAGGTAAAATAATCCTATGTCATCGGGAAAAATTTGTGTGCTCTTTTAGTGAAGTTCAGACAACAAATAATATTTAATTTCCCCTAATTGCTAAAATGTGTGCACAAAAAAAAAGGAGTATGGAGATAAGTGACCAACGTTCTACTTGAATCAGTTTTTGTTTTAATTACCGCCATAAACAACAGCAGCTGACATATTTTGGTGATATACATGAAACCATTTTATGATATATGTTCAAAGAACAATTCGTAAACACTCAAAGGGAAATAAGTAAACCACAGAAAAAAAACCTACTTCAATATATCAGTCAAAATTTAAACTATATGGAATGGTGTGTTAATCTCGCATACCGAAACTATCATGATTCAGTCTGATATAATACATATATCACGCCCAATGATTAAAACCAGTCCGGTTTAAATCAAACATAGTATCCAATTTTTTGTAATATACTAGTACTGGTACTAACTCCAGAAACAATTCTGTACACAGTATTTTAAACATGATATCAGTATCCATGTGCATTGTTTTTCTATTTTTTTCTAGTTTGGGGTAAACAATTGACCATTCGGGTTCTTTAAAAAGTAAATCATGATTCTCTGCGTATATTTCGTCGAATAAATATTGTACAACTAATGATTTTAGATAATTTCATAAATATTCAGATGCAGGTGGTTTATAATGTTTCAAATTTTGTAAAATGACACTTGCTTTATTGAATGATATCTTACCTTTGTAATTTATCTGTCTATCTGAAATCATTTTTTTCTAATTTAAATTTTTTAAGTCAATTTTATCAGCTTTTTGGTTTTGTCAAGTGCGTGTAGGCTTTGTGTTATAAATTAATATACCATAATCGTCCTTTTCTAATTTAAATCGCTCACTTTTCTCTTATTTCATCTCCTATTCTAATTTCATTTTTTAAGAAGGCAGACTTTTAAAAAATGACAATACTGGATGGCGTTAAACGGAATACATATCAACACTTATATTGTTTTGAGAAATCATTGATAATATTTGTTTAAAAGTGTTTTTTAATGAATAATAATGAGCTTTGTTAATTGTCCTAGATCCGGGACAATATACAATTGCACATGTCAGGGGTCTGGTACGCAGTGACCTATTTGTTATGAAGTGTTTAAAATTTGGAACTGTATACAAAGTTTTGTTCTGAACTTTTTAACAATAATGAATATGCTGGGGAATATATTATTTGTCAACAGGTAAAAAAAAAAACCAGAACCTTCTGGGGAAAAACAATTGAAGTATATAAGGAAAGAGGACTGTGTTTACATAGTTTCAATATAAAAGATTAATAAAATAAACCGTTTTAGAATCTAATGCATTCTGGTGAATATTTCAAACCGTGTTAATCAAAACGTTGTGATAGTTTTTAAACATCCTAAACAATTGAAATTCAACCAATGACATTGCGTTATTTTCATTTTATGGGTGTGAAAAATGAAATTACCCATAGTCGTTTAAATACTGAAATGGCAAATTGGCGAAAGGTTATCAATAATATCCAATATAGACCATTTGAATAAATTTCAATATAGGATTATCAAGTATAGTGGAAGCTTCCGGACATACTTTATAAATTACAATTTTAGATCTTATAAATAAATATATATAAACAGGTCATCATTTTATGCCTTGAAGCAAATTTCATTGAAAGTTGGTATCGTCCGAGTTGATTCTTCAAATGAACATAGTCTGACGTTGATCCATTCATGTGACGCGCAGTTTATATTTTGTTTGTGGTGTCCTGGTGTGCTGTCGTAAATCCGTTGTAATGTATTATTATAATATTTTTTATGTATTTCTCTGTGTTGAGTGTTCTTGCGTTTTTTTGTACTGTATTCCAGTCACGTAGTATTGTGATTTTGGCGATATTTTAAACATTTTCATATAAGCAGGAGGTTTGGCTAGCCAAAAAAACCAGGTTCAACCTACCATTTTTTCTTAAAATGTCCTGTACCAATTCAGGAATATGGCAGTTGTCATCTAAAGTCCGTTTCTATGAATGTTGGCGTTTGCTTTTGTTGTAGTTTAGTGTTTCTGTTGTTCCCTTGTTTTCCTCTTATAGTTGATGTGTTTCCCTCGGTTTTAGTTTGTTACCCGGATTGGTTTTTGCTTAATCGAATTTTGACTATTGAACAGCGGTATACTACTGTTGCCTTTATTGAGAAATATTTACTTGCCTGTTATATCCGGACTAACTTATATACCTATATTGAGTTATTTTCCTTCAGAACTACAGGTCTTTCATTTGAAGAATCAACTCGGACGATACCAACTTTCAATGAAATTAGCTTCAAGGCATAAAATGATGACCTGTTTAATGTCATTATTTTCTCTGATTAGAATACATACATTAATTTACTTGAACATTTGATTCGTTTGATAGTTATCGTGTGTTGTTGCAAATGGGGGTTTTACTCTTTCATAGGTTTAAGGCAGAAACAATCCTTTCCTCCGTTTATGGGACTGAAATACCAAAAATCGTCGTTGACTGGACGCAACAAACAATGTGAAGTTTTATTAATTTATCACTACAATAAAGGGATATTATATGAGATGAATTCAACAATGCAAACCTTTTAATAACACTTTAAAAGCAAGCCAGATTTAACACATTCGTGTGTAGGATTTTATTGATTCACACTGTATTTGAAATCATACTTTGACCTATGGATGTCCGTTTTTCATCTTTTTACATCTATATATACCTTTTACTCTATCAAGTGACCAAATATTCTTATTTTCTATAGAATAACAGACACGTACTTCATAATGGGTGTGGGGGAAGTATAATATTTAATCCTGATTCTCAGTTTTAAAAAAAATGTGTTGCCAGACAAAAGAGAGAACATTATTCTGAATAGTTCGTTAAAAATTGTTGAAAAGATAATTTGCTCTTTCGCGATAAAAATAACATGAAAAAAACACACACAAAAAACATAGCACCCCCTTCTATAAACAAAGTTGATACAATAAATTACTTACAAATTGACTTGTTTTTTCATACACCGTAACAATTCATTTGTATCTTGCTTCATGCATTAACAATATTATTTTTATTGTAACTGGATAGTAATTTCTAAAGTTTATATCTAGAATAATTAGTGAGTTTTATTTCATATTATAAATGAGCCGTAGGGCGTATTTAAACCCGAACGCATCAGAAAAGAATATCCCACTATCTTTGCAGAAAATAATATTTTTGACGGTATATAAGTCAGATAATGCATATTTTAAGGTTATACGACAAGAAAAACCTTAAAATATGCATTATCTATAACATATTTCTAAGGAATTATATTTGTGGACATTCAGGCCATTTATTTTAAATTTGTGATTATAATTTGTAATAATGGTGAAATATTTAAAAGTACTAAGCTTGCAGTTATTTTCTTTACTGTTTAAATTCCCTTTTCATCTCTTTGTTATCTAAAAGCACAGTATAAGAGCTTCCGTCTCATATTTTATCTTACAATAATATATTTAGTTATTTTGTATCGAGCCAAGTTTGTTTTTCAATGTACAATCTATACGAAATATGATCATTTGGCACACACTGAAGCTTAAGAAAAGCTCCCTGACTCATACATTTTATTATATATTTTAAATTTAAAAAATATCAACTGCATTTTGGCAAATTATCTAAAATGTCAATCGATTTTAATTTAGAATCCCTATCTGCTTTGAAACAAAACTCTTTCCAAAAACATAAGGTGACTTCGATATCGACTCGCATGTGACATTCGTCGATCAAAGCCCATAAAGAGTCAATTACTTTGATTTGTTAAAAAAAGTAAGTTCAAGGTTGCAAAGAATCGGAGAAGTTATTTTTACTACCTTTAAGAGTAAATTCATCTGAAATCATTGGACCAATTGCAGGACAGAAAAACATACTGATGGTGTCATTTTAGTTTTGAAATGGCCCTGATTGATGTGGAACAAATTGTACGCGCTCTATCTGGGACGCCATTATAACAGACACATAATTAAGAACATCTTTGTCACAAAGGCTGACATTATTTGTTGACTTGACTAGTATATCTTTTTTAATCCCTTATATGAATTCTGCTTTATGCTAGTAAACCACACAGTTGAGCTGGGTAAATGTACGTAGGAACTCCATACCTGTGTGGTTAATTCTGTGGACATAATCCAGCCATTTATAAATTATTAATTCGACCATTTTAAAATTGTTTAAGTTTTGGGTTTTTTATGAAGCAATGTGATTCTGAACAACGTCATTCCTAATCTTCCTCAAAACAAAAAGGTATGCCATCTATCTGCATTCTTTTCCTAAATTTGGTGTATCAAAACTTTGATAAGATCTTGGATAGAAGTCATGAGGGAACAATTAGCTAACGATTGGAATTTATATCTCCTTGTGTAAATGTTAAAAATGAAACGGTATTTCTTTTTTATTCACTTCTATTATTTTTTTTCAGTTAAAAAGGATACAAAGGGAACCAAAGGTAAGAAATTAAACACAGGTCTGACAACAACATGTATGACAATTTAAAGTTGCATGCATGAATAGATATTAAAGTAAATTAGGCGCTGAGTGTGTTTCTTTCCAATTGCAGACAGGAAATCAGGTAATAGAAAATGTGTAATATATTTTATTGATAAAGTACTTAAACATATGATGGATATGATTAATAAAATGGTTTCACATATTCTGGGAAGTGTGTGGTACTATAAAGAAAACTTTATGCATTATTACCTTTTTTATCGCTTTTCAATATTAGATGTTAACAGAATGTGCCAGCAGCATACATGTGTTTGATATTTGTATTAATGATCTATAATGAACTCGATAGAATTCCATATATTATTTTTTAATACAAAACAACGTCTAACATTAAAATTAAAGTAAAATTAGTCCGGCAGATTGGTGAAAAAATTGTGGGTTTGATGATAAAAGCACCAAGTTTGGCATGGTAGTAGTTCTGGGTGTTTCAAAAACTATTAGTTATGGACCCACCTTGCAATTTCAAGATGGCAGCTTTTCCAAGATTGCCGCCATAAAATATCAAAATCAGCATATATCACTTATATAAGGTCAGCTTTAAGACCAAATTTGGCATGACCGTAGTGCGGGGTGTTTCAAAAAATATAAGCTATGGACCCACCTTGCAATTTCAATATGGCGGCTTTTCCAAGATGGCCACCAATTATATATCAAAGTCAACAAATATCACTTATACAAGTTCAAATTTGGAATGTTAGTAGTGCTGGATGCTTCGAACAATATTACCTATGGACCAAAGTTGAAATTTCAAAATGGCGGCTTTTTTTCAAGATGGCCGCCATAAGATATCGAAATCAAAACATATACCTTATGTAAGGTTGCAAAGTGTTATGTTTTGACGTACCATCAGTAACACTAAGTGCCTTATGATACCAAGTGTGTACCACATTTTTTTTCTTAAGCCAAACAACATCAAACATTTCTGAAGAAAGTACAGAAAATCGTAACTACGGTACCATTCTTGCAGAAATATAGTCTACAACGAGGGATCACGTGTAGATACTGGCGTTATTCCAATATTTAAGCTAGACTTAACTAGAATGAAAACTTCTAGACTCAAACAGTTTTCATTAAGATTAGGTGGAGAGGACATAGTAATAATCTTAACAAAATTACAGTAATCTGAGGCTTGGCATGCCATTAGCAAGGCAGTTTCTTACTTCTTCTGTTAAATGATTATTATGGTGGTGTAATTTAACAGAAAACCGCAAAATTCGGCTTGTATGACAACGATATGTGAATACACTGCGCATACAGATAGTTCAGAAAGACAATGATGTACGCAAAAGTCTTTCCCACAGTCATCTAAAACATTACTTGATTAACGTTTGGGCAAATATCTAAATGCACTCGAATTATTCCATTGAGACAAATACGACGCTATCCATTTCGAAGTTACTTCTGTTTTATTCTTCTATAATACTACATTCAACTCAACTAGAACCATCTCTTAATATATATGACCCTTCTACCTGATGCTAGGACAAGTAAAGGAGGTAATAATTGACACAATGTACAGTTTACATTGGTCGTTTATGTATGATCCAATTATCCATTTATCTAACTGTACTAGAAACATTCAGAATTAAATATGTGGATCCTTTCGCGAATACTGTTGGTTCTACAACATACTTAATGTTTTGCAACAGCAGCGATGGACAATATTGACAACAACAGGAGTTCAACTACGGCTAAAGAATCGTCACATAGTAAAACATATTTCCATATTTCAGCTTTTTTCAGTCTAACTTGAATAATTCGTCATAACCAAATGCTTTGAAATAATATATTATATGCATTTCTCTTATATTCTCTGATACTTTGACCAATATATTAGGCGCCAGCACAACTGTTCGTATTATTGCTATAACTTAGTAACTAATAACATTAGTATAGACTAAGATTATCCTAACACTAACCAAATATAACAATGCGTTTCATTCTTACATCTTGTAAAAACCGTTTTTGGACATGCATTCTGTAAAATTGTCTAACCAGAAATATATGTATGCCAACCTGGTATAACTAGTTAATTGTGCAACTCTATCCTTAAATGGTATACATAAGTAAACAAAATGATAACATAGATAGGTTGAAACAGATGATAAAGAAAACATTAAGTATGTCTGGACATCATTCCACGCATTAAAGCCAAGACAAATGGCCACCCGCCTTTATATATCAGTCCGCATTGAACAATGTTTCTGAGGAACGAGACCCTGGTGAAAACTATGTAACAATCAAATAATGGAGTAATAAGGATAATTTGAGTCTACTTAACCATAACCACAATTGATCTGTAACATCAATGATTGAACTGGATGTGAGATAGTTAAGAGAATGTTCCTTCTGGTTTATATATGTGTAATAATACTGCTTATTCAGTGGTTCTTATCATTTTCTCATCATAATTATCCTAGTACCCGTGTGCAATATTATGCGATGTAACTATACAGTTCAAGTGTTGTAAACGTGATTTGAAAATGGTAAATGTAGATCAAGCCATGAGTTAAATAAAGAAAAAAAGAAAAATAACAAAAAGACCGAACTCCGACGAAAATTCAAAACGGAATTACTCACTTCTAAAAAGAAAAGGTTGGGCAATCGGATTGAATGTTATGAATAATAGTGCACAAATACAGCATATAAATATGGAGTCTTGTTCAGAAATGGATATAGTAATTAGCAAGTTTCAATCCACCTTATAAGCATATGAAAGCTTTAAGTTAAGGAATGTTTCGGCCTTTTATCTGTAGTGCTACTTCAAGTGAATGCGGATGGCATATACCCTATTGGATATTTATCACAAAGGTATCAGCATTTTTGAATGAGCTAATAAAATGTGGTTGAAAGATATTGAAACGGTAAATAAAAATGTGTGAGGACAATGATGCTATGTAAAGTGCTTTGTCAAATGTGGAGGGGAGTCGTGCAAAAACTAAATGGACTGTCCTTGATAAAAAGTTTGAAAACTGCTGTGAAAATATGTTGTTGTTTATATGATAAAGAGGATGAGAAAGACACCATGACACTCAAAAATCATTAAAAAAAACAAAGCGAGACAATAGTATGGATAACCAAAAAAAACGCGAAACGACTATCATCAGTCAAGACATCTAAACACAAATATCAGAAAATTGAACAACACCATACCCTCATAAAACAGGGAATGATCTCAGGTGCTCAAGAAGGGTCAGCTGCCTAAGTGCTATTGTTTAAAAAGCTTGATGAGTCACATCCATTATCACCAAATTTGTTGGTATTTGTAAAGTATCTAAAACTTAACCAAATGTGAAAGTTTGAAATGAAATAAAGTTTTCCATGTCTGTACGATGGATAAACACGACTTTCATTGGTTGACAACACAGATATGAAAAATAAAGAACAAAAAACACAACATCGGCAGCACAAACAACATGAGTCCCTTTTAATCAAAACTAAGGGTCAACGCAGGTGTTCCAGAAGGTGTTGTAGTTTCTGGCCATATGTTAGCACGAGTGATGTTACTCATTGCAAGTAGAAAATCGGTAAATGAGTCGTATTTATTGATCATGTTGATTCCAGTCGAGGCAAAATATACTAGAAATGTGACAAGGAGAAGTGGAAAATATAAATTATCATTTGTGACTCAGATGGTACACAGTAAAACAAATCCTAAAGGCGTCCTAAAAACGTTCGAGTGTTTCCATTTATGGGATCTTTGATTATATTGTCTTGCAAGTAGTATTGATATATCATTGAAAAACAATTCCTAGAACATAGTATGAACTGCAAATAGCAATTCGAAGAAAGAAATGAATACCAGCAGAGCCTTGTCTTAGTTTAGTTCGTTTTCACATTTTGGCGGCCATTTTGAAATTTTCCGTCATTTAAAAAAAAGTTTTAAAGTTTAGCATACCGCCATAACTTACGATAAACGTTGGATTACATTTTATATGCTTTTAAAAGATTTCTTTTGCACATTATTTGCTGTAATTTATACATGGTGGTGAATTTTTGACTGATTGGCAGCCGTCTTGAAAATGGCCGCCATATTGGATTTTTCAGAGTGAGTTCCTAGCTTAAATTGACAACCATATATAGATCTACAATTGTGCAACGTTTCAAGCTTTTATCATCAAACCCACAATTCTTTCGTTAAAGACACATAACAGCCTGAGTAGGATAGTTGCATTTTTTCAAATGTTTTTAATGTTTAGATACGTCAATAACATGCAACCCGAAAAACTTGAATTTTTTTTTCAAGAAAAATAAACACAGGAACTTGATTTTATTTTTGCATTTACATTAAGCACCCGTCTTATTTTTATTGATAGTTTTATCATGTGCAGCTTCAATCCCAGATTTTATTCCCTTCACATGTTCTAACTCATACATAAAACTATCATACCAGAAAAATAAGTTAATACTACAGCATGTTTTATTCGTAGATTCATCTCGTAATAATGTAGGACATATCTTGTTGGTTATTGGTGGAATAGTGATTTTGTCAATAATAGTTTTTTTCTTATACAAGCTGCTTAAGAAACGGAACAAGCATTGAAGAAAGGTAATTATCATTTATCATCTACTTATTACATCACAATCATTGTTTGTTAGCAGCTGTCGTTGATATTTTTGGCATTAATCCGTAATTACATGGCATCTTAATTTTGTTTCAAATGAAAAGATAGGATTGGGAGATATATTACAAGTATACGAATGAAAAGAGGGAAAACCCTAACGCAAACGATACACAACAGAACCCTTACAAAGAAAACTAAGGTTGACAACTACAAACCAACAAATATCCAAATTGTACTCGAGTAATGTTTAATATGACATTTTAGATAGATGCAATAGTAGTTTATCGATTTTCAAACCATGTGAATGCATTTTTATTACACAAATTAAGATTAATGAACTGATGAAAATGCTCTAATTCTAAGCAGAACGTGATCAGAAAAATTCGACAGAGAAAGTGTCTCTGCCAATGTATTAGTTCCGGGTAAACTTATCGATCCTTTGAATAAATTTATTCTAAAAGGTTACCAATTCAACATTGTAATTATACCTTTGAATATTGTTTTATTGGTATTAATATTGATTCTGTTATCAGTAAATTTAATATCAAACTTTATACTATTTGTAAATACATATGCAAATTCATGGCTCTACAATCTGTCGATACCTGGCATTGCACAAGGTCGTGTTTTTTTCTCTGACTCCTAATAACGTCTTTACACTAAATCCATTGGATGTTGGATGTGTACTGATTAATATTTAAGTCTTAGATACATGATTTTTTTATTAGTTGTTATTCGCTTTGAACTAACTGTCAGTAACTGCGAGAACTCTCAGATCTGTACTTAGTGTCTTATTTATTGTGGGGATGTATAAATACCCGGCCACGTGCGGTCTGTTTATTTGTCAGATGTCTTTCTGCTTTGTATCGATGTGTTTCGAAACTACATCCCGTCATTGTGTTATAGTGCTATGGTACATTTTTGTATTCTTGTCTTTCGTTTTTTGCTAATGTGCTTTGTCTATATATATTTTGTTTTTTTTCTTTGTTGACATATTTGTTTGTTGTGATAGTGATTAAGATTATAACACAACGTTGACCGCTGTACCCCTATCTTGACATGTTTACCTATAATGTCTTTGATTTGTTCACACATTGTTGTCAATATAATGGAATTGTATGCGCCTGTCATACAAGTGAGAGGATATGCTAGATATAAACCAGGTTTAATCCACCTTTTTCGACATATGAAAATGCCTGTACCAAGTCAGGAATATGAAAGTTGTTATCTATTAGTTTGATGTGTTTGAGCTTTTGATTTTGCCATTTGATTAGGGACTTTCCGTTTTGAATTTTCCTTGGAGTTCGGTATTTTTGTAATTTTACTTTTTGATGAGTTAAGTCCTTTTCAACTGATTTTTATAGTTTATTCTCATGTTGTACTGTTAAACAACTGTCCCAGGTAAGGAGAGGGTTGGCGCCTTCAAAATAATTATAACCCCAACACTTTCTGTATGTGCATGTCCCAGGGCAGTAGCCTGTTATTCAATGGTTGTCGTTTGTTGCTGTATATCATATTTGTTTTTCGTTCATTATTTTGTACATAAATCAGGCCGTTAGTTTTCTCGTTTGAATTGTTCTACATTCGTCATTTGGAGGCCTTTTTTAACTGATATGCGGTATGGAATTTGCTCATTGTTGAAGGCCGTTCGGTAACCTATAGTTGTAAACTTTTATGGCATTTAGTCTCTAATGAGGAGTTGTCTAATTGGTAATCACACCACATCTTCTCATTTTTATACATAGCATATGCCGATAAAAAACTCTTTATTACATATTTCCTTCAGGGATTTGAAAAGTGACATTGTTTAACGGTGACTAGATACATATAAGATGTTTCGGTACATTCAACATTGAAGTGTTCTTTCTTGTTTTCATAATATGCTGTTGTTTCATAAGAACATTTAATTGTTTATGAAACTATTGCTGCAGATTACAAATTTTATAACTTAGTACTTACTTATATGTTTCATGTATGTATGTTAAAGACTTTTTGGGGCATTTTTTGTTTTGCCCTGTTTGTCTTTTTTTCATAAATTTTGGCTCTGCTGTAAATATTCATTTAAGATACTACGCTATGCAAGTTCTGTCTTCATACGAACCATCAGTTGTCGAGTCAAGACAGTTTGAAGGCCATATCATATACGGTTAACATTAAAAACAGAACATTCATAAGAGTTTTGCAGAAAACGGCTTAGGCATTTTATGTCTGGAAGAAGAAAACCTTACCGTTTCTAATATTTCAACTTTTCATAAAAAGTTCCTCTACAGCAAATGTAGATATGCATTATATTTCATATCAACACAAAAGTACTGACTACTGGGATGGTATTGTGATCGACCAAGGGATTGTTAAAACTTATCAAATATACCAGGCTTACGATTTGGTACGCCAGACGCGCGTTGCGTTTACATAAAACCCATTAGCTGCGCTCGAAGTAGGTCATAAAAGATAGCAACAAAATCTTAAGAAAATGGTAATTTTTCTAAAACGTATTTTGTAAAGTTGTTTGACAAACTTGTAAAGTCGGAATTCATTTGCCGATACTATCAGTTGGTTTGGTTCTTAGGATACAATTCTGATGACTTTACAGAAATGATTGTTGGTCATATCTAATGTCAAGCTGTAACAGTTAATTGTAGTTTTGAAACTAGAACATTTATTTTATTTATTCGTACATACACAAACAATGACAATGTGAATGTTTACAGAGTAGTTGACATTTGTTTAGTGTTTGTAATTGTTGATGACTATAACATATCATTATATACTATTTACCTTTATGTGTTACAGTTTAAAATCTGATGATGTAGCTACAGGAATGGAATAATGACATTAAAAAGAAACAAATTGAAGAGTTTAGTGACTAATCAACAGATACATTTACATTTTAAAGTGTGTGTGTTAAAATTCATTATGTCAATGTTTTTGGGCTGTTGCGATTTTTTGTTACCTTTATAGACATATGTTGGTGATGATTGTATAAAAAAATATCCTTTTTTTTTCTCTGAGAAAAATCGAACATCTGTTTGAGGTGTGAAAAGATTTTTTTTCATTGGAATGTCTAGAATGGTAGTTGATAAAATCATCATAGACACCAAGATTAAAATGTTGTACGCCAGACGCGCGATTCGTCTTCGAAGCCACACAGGTGTATTTGCATAATAGCTATATAACACCAACTGATCATATAAAAAAAGTATAAAAAAACGAACTCAAAAGTAAATTCAAGAAGGGAAAGTCAATCAAAACTGACATAATGTTTCGCTTGTGTCAAATTTTTATGGATTTTATATTGTATTTTAATGCATTTTCAAACACATTAAACATTACTAGTATTCAAAATGTTCAATAGTGTTTAACATCATTTATTTACTTAGTTCTCCCTTCTTGTGAATTCTACAATCTTTATGATTTTATAGTTCAGCCAGCCCAGCAGTGATTATTTCTTCAAATTTTTACAAGATATCCAGATTTTGATATTGACACTTCACATAAGGTCATAGAGTTGTTTTTCTCATATATTTTTATCTTCATGTATATATTGAACGGTCAAGTATAACACCTTTCTATTAACACAATATTTAATGGGTTTCAAATAATGTGGTGTTAAGAATAAAAAGCACTATCAATCTTTCAGCCATCCTGATAATATCTCAAATTAAAAAAAGGGAGAAAATACCAATTTGTCAATAGAAAATTGTTTCAGGCATATAAAAAAAGACACTATTCAACATGCTAAATATGTAATTAAATCTTTGAATATTGTTTTTATTGGTATAAATATTGATTTTGTTATTAGTAAATTAAAACCGTAATATGTACTTTCACGGTACTACAATCTGTCGATACCTATAGTTTGGCATTGCACAAGGTCATGTTTTACTTTGAATGTTAATGACGTCTTTTACACTAAATCCATTGGATGTTGGATGTGTACTGGTTGATATTTCAGTCTTAGATACATGATTTTTTTATTAGTTGTTATTGTCTTTGAACTAGCTGATAGTAACTGCGAGTACTCTCAGATCTGTCCTTAGTATCTTTTTTGTTGTGGAGGGGATGTATAAGTACTCGTCCACGTCCACTCTGTGTTTTGTTAGATGTTTTTTCTATTTGTATCCATCTGATGAGTTAAGCCTTTTTCAACTGATTTTTATAGTTTGTTCATATGTTGTACTGTTACACCACTGACTCCCAGGTTAGGGGGAGGGTTGAGGGCTCACAAACATGTTTAACCCCGCCACATTATTTATATGCCTGTCCCAAGTCAGGAGCCTGTAGTTCAATGGTTGTCGTTGATTCATGTCTGCCATATATGTTTTTCGTAAATTGTTGTTATAAATCAGATGGTGTTTTTTTCTCAATTGAATTATTCCATGTTTTTCATGTCGGGGCCTTTTATAGTCGACTACACGGTATGGGTTTTCTCATTGTTGAAGGTCATACAATTGCCTATAATTGCTTACATCCATTTGAACTTTCATGGATAATTGTCTCATTGGCAATCATACCACATCTCCTTATTTTCATACTATAGCAACACGAACCCAACCAAACAACTGTTAAGTGTATGCTATTTATGAATTAAGTACTTTAAAGACCTTTTACATGTTTTATGATACATCTGGATAACTTTTCGTTGTAAGTCTCATTGGATTGCTATTGTTTTCCTTTACTTACACATATGCTTCGAGTGATCCAAGGCTGTTAGGCCGTTAAAACAATTAAAATATTCATGTTACTACACTTCCTTAACAATACGAACATTGGGAGATGTCGTATATGATTGAAAACTATCCATTAAGATCAAAAAACAAATTTATGAATAAAATACAAAAACCAAATAAAGGAAAGTCTCGCTGAAAACAACATTTAAAGATTTTACTACATATATTGATTATGGAACGCGTACATGGTGTACATTCACGAAGGGTGTAGATCTGTCAGTCGTTAATAGAGTAAATACATGAATTTTCCCGCATTTCGGCTAATAATAGCGGGAAAATGTCTGTATTAACGGTTTGTAAACATGGTATTGTCCAATCAGGATTGTTTTTTAAATCAAAATTGATTACAGGTAAAAGGTATACATTTAAATGTATCTCACTTTCTAGCCGTCTTTTGAAGTTTACACATTAAAATTACATGTTTGATAATGGATTTAATATGGCAAAGCTGAAGGCGTAGAATATTTTTTTATTTCAGAATTTCAATTTTAAAATGAATATTTAATAATAAATTCCGGCGTTCAGCGTACTTGAGGGCTAAAATATGTTGATTGAGAATGAATGTTCATTATCCTCGCAAGTTCTCGTGTTTTCCCTATGAGATGGTCTGTCGAGAGGTATTTTTGCCCAAGCGCACAGGTTTCCAGAGCTTTTATGATCATCATACATGTCATATATTATATGGTTTTATCTCTGAGGTTTTTTTTTTTCTGGGCGTGCCTTGACCGTTGGTATGGAGTGGAGCATTCTTTAGTTGTTTGTATATGATCAGTGAATGAAATGTATGGAAGTTTACTCAAACAATGTATGAAATTTTATCATATGTTGAATATTCAATACGGGATAGAAGAGCTCGTAAAGTAAGATATCACAAATTTAAATGTATTGACCATTTGCATATCGTTATTTTTAAGGCTATAAATTTAAAACTGTAGTAAAAAATATAGACGATATAAAGGGGGTTTAATATACAACTTAATCAATTTCACAGTTTTGCATGACATGCCAATTGTTAAGAAGTTTTCTTTCGGTTTCCTTAAAAAATGATATTACAAAAAAAAAGGTAGAGTGGTTTTAATTCGTGATATGAAATCATTGTTGACAATTGAAGTTAATCGAGTAGGCCATTCACGTCTAGGGCTGTTTCAATCTAAGCAGACTCCAAAATCCCATGTAGCAAAGGTTTAATATAAAATAGTTAATTTATTAACTGTTCTACTTGTGAACAGTAATGTCACATAACGTGTTCTAATAATATTACTTTTAACTTAAATACGGAATGGCAAAATAAAAACACGTTCCATTCTTTTGTTTGTGATCAGGGCTAGTTCAACCACTTCCTTTTGTATTAAGATAAACAATATTAGTGAAGAGACAAATATCAATTAAGGTAAAACATTGTTTTGAATCTTGTCATTTCATTGTTTATACAGATCCTTTTCTTTTCTTTTTTTTATTTTAAACAAACAGGCTTTCATTCCATCCATGTAAATGTAAGATCATTGCTCCCCAACATATCAGAACTAAACTGTATTCAGTCTGTGTTCATTGGTGTTAATATGTCTTTTGATTGAGTTAAGCCATTTCAATTGATATTTTATAGTGTGTCTTTCTATGTTGTGATGTTACACTATTGTTTCAGATAAGGGTGAAGGTTTGGTACCATTAAAACGTTTAAACCCGCTGCAATTGTTTGCACATGTCCTAAGTCAGGAATCTGATGGTCAGAGGTTGTCGTTTGTTGATGTGGTTCATAAGTGTTTCTCGTTTCTCGTTTTTTATATAGATTAGACCGTTGGTTTTCCCGTTTGAATGGTTTTACACTAGTAATTTTTTGGGCCCTTTATAGCTTGCTGTTCGGTGTGAGCCAAGGCTCCGTGTTGAAGACCGTATTTTGACCTATAATGGTTTACTTTTATAAATTTTGACTTGGATGGAGAGTTGTCTCATTAGCACTCATACCACATCTTCTTATATCTATAAAGGTCTATTGCTGCTGTACAAGTGTGTTTGTATTGAGAAAAAAACACGTCCATCGAAATTTTTGGCGACACCACATTTTTTTTGTGCAATACAAATCAACCGAGCATTCATTATGTTAAGGAGTCGACCACTTTACGTGGATACATATGTAAATTTAGCAACATCGAGATTGTTTACACTGAAGTCCTAAACAAAATATTATTCCTGCATAAACTGTGATTAATAACAGTAAAGACAGAAATAATCTTCAATAGGACACAGTTCATTCCCAAAGAAATTCTAAATCCTCGACCGATTGCGTGCGGATTAAGAAAAACAACCAAGAGAAAGAACGGATTTAGTGTCAAGACGTCATCAACAGTCATTGAAAAACATAATAAATGCTTATTTATAATGCAAATATTTTTATATTTGTCTAAAGAAGCTTTTTCTGTGTCGTTTTGCCCTTATATATCTTATGTCATGTGTCGTAAATATTTGAATCGTGTAAAATGCAAGTTAATCTTTATTTACGTATGCTAAACGGACATTGTTCATGTGAGAATTATGCGATTAAAGTAAATCAGATGTATCCGCCATATTGGATTGTAAAGCATATCTTTAATAAAATATACAAATGTTATTGAGGATTTGTAATTGTCTAAATAAAGAAAATTATCTTATCGTATTGAGACGATAGTTTTTTTTTTAATTACAGAACCATTTTTTGTATGCTTAATTGTTTTTTTTCCAATTTTGCCCTTGAAGGGTAGACAGCTAAGATAACCTTTCTTTTGTAAAAGAAAGTGTAGGGATCTTACCTTTTAGTTTTGCAGCAAGAACAATACACTCGTGATCTCAATTTGTATTGAAAGCACCTTATATGAACGTTTTTCTCATATTTTATCTTAACATGCGATCCTCAAGATTTCTTTCTATCACACGTATTTGTTTTCCGTGTATAATCTAAACAAAATCTGACAATTTTGCACAATGTGTAGCTAAAACAAACTGAAACAAATACTTTTTTTAATAATTTTTGTCATGATTTAAACTATACTTCGGTAAATAATCAAAAAAAGCCCTTACGGTTTTAATTACAAATATTGATCTACCTTAATACTTAAGTTACACTCCAACGCAAGAATAATTGCAAAATGTTTGGATTTTCAAATATTTTGACCTCGAGCATCACTGAAGAGACATTAATTGTCAAAATGCGCTTCTGGTGTAGTAAAATTGGTACTGTTAATGTTATTCATAAAATTTTAATTAATATTATTTGATCTGTCATAAAGTACTTGAAAATTACAAGGTTTTATTTCAGGAAACAAATATCAAATGAGTTTTAGGTATCTGAACATTTCAATTACGACATAACTACAAATATTGATATTCTGCATCATATATCCAATATGCTTGTAGCTCCCTATTTGTATTTAGACCAACATATTCATTAGATGCCTCATTGTAATATTCGTGTGAACTATCATTCATTATTTCATTAAAGTACGAAGTGTCGACTAGGATGTTTTGTTGGTTATCTGCATTTGAAATTACACTATCAATATCCTCATATTCCCGATTGGAATTGATACTGTCATATGATGTTCTTCGATGCTCAAGACTTCTGAAGAGAAAGGAAAAGCAGATGTTAAGACACGTCTTATATATCAAAAAACACTTGCGTAGAAATAGATAGGTCTCTTTGTTATTTCTTCGACGTGCAAAAGCACCAACAAGTAAAAGTGTTATTTTTACTACTTGTACATTTAAATAAAAACAATTTTCCTACGCGCTGTTTGACGAGGCAAAAAGGTTTTTTCTTACAATGTGTACATTCAGAAACAGTTATATGCCTACGCTCAGTTCCCTTAAAATAAAAAAGTCGTTTTTCTTTTTAAAACATATGACGACGAATATATTCCAATCGTAATAACCTAAATCATTTCATCATTTTCCTCGAATGTCCTATCGCATTAGACGTATCACCAGGTTTGTACTTACATAAACAACACGACGAGTGCCACATGTTGAGCAGGATCTGTTAACCCCTGTGGAGCACCAGCGATCACCCCGGTTTTTTGGTGGGGTTTGTGTTGCTCGGTCTCTAGTTATCTATATTGTGTTTTGTATACTGTTGATTGCCTTTTGGTCTTTTTCTTCTTTTTTGACACGGCTTTCTCAGTTCATTTTCGCATAATGAGTTTGAATGTTTTGCCTCTCTTTTTACTTCCTCGCTCGGGCTTTGTAGTTTAGAGTTGTCTGTTATGAATGATAATGGATTTGATTTTCTCAAACTTGCTTCAGGTCCAATTCGAAATAAAATTTGTGGAGAAATGTGTCGTTTAGAATTTAACATTAAAATGGTATCCGAAATATTCAGAAAAATCGAACATCAAGTTTTAAATGTAATTTTTTGGGGAAGTTCACAGTTTGGGTATTGTCAAAAGTGCAACAGGTAAAAACACTTATGGCATTTGCTAAAAAAAAACAGATATTCCAAACATTATTTTCTGTCGCAAATAATAGACTGTGCAATTATTTAATATATTTATAAAAACGTCGCAGAACAGATTCTACTTTTTGGATTTCATCCGCCGGCCTACAAGTGCTTAAACAGGTTTATTTTGCATAATGATCAAAAGATAAAGATTAATATGTATCTTTGATTAAATGATTTTGAATATGTATCTTTCTAATGTTAAGCTCTAATTCCTTTTCCGGGTTTGGCTTTTTGGAATTTTAAGGCTCTTTCCTATCTGTATTAGGTTTTGGACCTTCAAATGTTTGGCCTCGAGTATCATTGAAGAGACATTAATTGTGTAAATGCGTATCTGGTGCGGTAATTTTGGTACCGCTAAAGTATTAACTTACATTACCGATTTAATGTTTAAAATTCCATTGAAAAAGAAATAATTAAAAAAAAAAATTGTATAGTTTACCATGTTTACGTTACTTAATAAAATAGCCCTTTGGTGTTTCATTGATATATAACGAAAGATTATCGTTCAAGATTTGGCTATTTTATTCATAAAGAAGAGCAATCTTGAAGCTTTCGCAGGTTCCGCATCCGAATAGGAAAAATCTCAACACGACTGAATACGATCTAATACCCCATTTCCTTTGTTTTTCTATTATAATACGATCTAACTAGTACATTTGATCTTTGGTATGATTTATTCTGAGAGTGTCTTGTTTTCGTCGAACCCTACCAACATGATCCATATATACATATATGGATATATATTTTTACACTGAAACATTGAAATTATGCAGACATAATACGTCAAGTTGATAAAATGAGCTGTATGGTATACGTGAATGACGCAGCAACCAAACAACAAAATGACCAAAAGTTATCTAAAGGTCTACAAAAATAGCCTAGTGTCTTAAAGCACTATACCGCTACTAGTCTAGAAATAAATGTGATGGTGGTTATCAAAGACCGTCTTCCAACAGCATACTCCTGATATCAAATAAAATTTAAACATAACTGAATTCAACTACTAATAAGGAGCCAGACGTATTGTGTTGTTTCACTACTAGCACTACCATATCAGAGGAAGAGTTCTTGAAAATGCATCAATGTACGTTATACTTAACGTTAAACTTAAATTGTTATATTTTTTATTTGCCATTTTAAATGTAATACTTGTTTTGATAAGGCTTTATTTCGAAAACGTTTCTGACAGGAAAAGATGTTGTTGTCATTCTAATTTCATGTGTAGACTGTAAGACAGGGTTACTATTAATCATAGAAAACATTGTGCATACACTAAGTATAACTACTTACATGTCTGCACTGGCCTGTTGCATTCTGATATCATTTACCATTACTACATTTAAACAAAGATAATGTTATTTGTCAATTTGTTTTGTTTATTTCATATGAAATTCAATTATTGTATAGTTTTACTAGAAACGCAACAACAATATTTGGCAGAATATAATGCTTTCATCATGAAATTAAACATTCATTTTGTGGTAAAAAAAACGCATGTTGTTAAAATCAAATGTATGATTCCTGTTCTCCTTAACATCAGCAAAGTGTCATCATGCAAACGGTTGGAATACATAAAACAGATAAACATTTACCATATGAATCTTATTAAAAAAAAAAAATTAAACATTAAGCAAAGCTACACAAATGCCGATCCCTTACTTCACCAACAGAAAGTTTTCAACATTCAGTTGTGACACTACCGAACGCGATTCATTACCAGATTTTTACTTGCTTCTGCATTCAGCAACACAACGACTTACATTTTAGTTGCACCTGAGTTTACCCGCCCCCGGGTTTGCTTTGTCTTTAGTTTTTCATGTGATGTTCGTTATTGTTCTTTGTCCTTTTCTTGTTTTTATTTTTGTCCATGATGTTGTCTGTTATTATTGGAATTATGATTTCAAAATACGCCCTGGTATCCTCTTAATCTTTGTTTTAGCAAAGGTCATTAATACATTACCTGTCTGGTTTATCTTTTCTGTTTGTCCTCCTCGAACAAACATGACTGTAATTAATGCTAAAAGAGCTACGGCACTACTGATAGCAGTATAAACAACTGTCCAAATAATTACGTTTAGCTCTCAAAAAATAAATTTACATTAAACATTCTATTCATGTTGTTGATTGAATAATATTAATTCAAGTTTTTTTTTTTTTTTTTTACATTTCCAAATTTGAAAATGAAGAAGTCAACAACAACTGACTAAATGTTTGAAAATTTGTTTTTGTTTCATTCGTTTTTTGTCACAGACCTGACATATCCACAATTGCGATCTGACTTTAGTATTCTAGTATTGACACGATCCTGGTATAGACACTTGCTACTGAAAGTGACATTGAAATTGTACAAGATGCCTTCTTTGTTGACGCACTGGGTATCCCAACATTTGGAATTCCACTTGCATACCAGTATATATAAGTTGTGGTCATAAAGTGGAACAGAAAGGATATTGAATGGATTTCAATAGTATAAAAGTTAGCAATAACCAATACTTTCTAAGTTTTTTTACAATGCCGGAAGTATTAACTGTGTCCTACATTTCTCGTCTTATGTTTTATATCCACTTTTAGAAGGAAATACATCATCTGGAATGCGAATTGTTGCCTTATAACATTCCATTATTTTTGTATATTGATATTTTTTTTATTACGAAAAACATCAACTGAATGATTAAACTTACCTGTCATCGCGTGTGTAGCGTTCCCATTTTTTCCCGGCAAGACTTCGACTACTGCATTCTTATCAAAGTGAACATCAATGACGTCTATGGCGTTTTTGACGCAACATCTATACACAGCTATATCAGATGTTGTGAAGTTTTTTATAATTAATATGGCAACAAACCCATTTGTCGTTATATTTTGTTTCTTAATAGTGAGCTTTTTAGTGGCAGATTTAACAAGTCTTTCATATTTATCTACAGAAGTTATGTTGTTGTCATTGTAATACCAACAAACAAAATCAGGTTTTGGTTAGAATAAAACTTTACTTTCAATAATATGTTGTTCCCGTACTTTCTTTTCTGTGAAAACAGGTCGGCCTTAGTGATAAATACAAATGCATATCAAATCTATAATAAAGAAATACAATTCTAGTAGTAAACTTGAAGTAGTCATGACAACATCAATCAAAACTGGACACATTATGTGAAAAAAAGACATACAAAAGAGTATAATGGTTTCTAAGCCTTTCAGGATGACCGAAATTGTTGGTGTTCTATCCGTTTTTAGCGGTTAGTGTGTTGTTATTTCCAGTAGACAAAGCCTCTAACAAAAAGTAAAATAACAAAAATACGGGACTCCAAGGAAAACTAAAAACGGGAAGTCCCTTATCAAATAGCAAACTCAAAAGTTCAATGACATCATACGAATGGAAAACAACTATCATATTCTTGACAATATTGTTTTATTTGCAAAATTCATTAAGTTTTGAATGTCAACTAAAGATCTCGGATTTCGTAGCAAACTGAGATTCATAATATATCCCTTCTCTCCCCATGGTTATAACATAAAAAGGGAGAATTGATATCTGAATACCTTAACTCACAAAAATCAACATAAAGAACAATATATATCTGGGTCGTCATGATGTTCGACTAAACATATTTCCCAAGTTCGTACCACCATTATTTCTACTGTATAAGGTGACCTACAGATGTACTGTGAGGAGTTGTCTTCAATCAACGATGTCAATAAGATGTTGATTCTTTAAGAAATTTAGTTTTTTTTCTGGAAGATTGAATGTATCGTCTCATCAAACAGACCTTTTTTCTACAAAAATGGAAATTGTAGATCCAGTTTTGTTGTTGGAGGTTATAAAATCTTACTTTGTATCGAACTGCCTTGATATAAGCTAGAGGTTTTAAAGAGCATTTAGTGCTCACCTAGGTCTATATGCATTCCAACAACAGACACTCTTTAACTTTGTAGAAGAACTATATAACTGAAAAATTAAAAACTTAAGCTATAAAATACATGTCATTTATTAAAAAAACACTGGCTTCCGAAGCTACACAAATCACCTTACAAATATATATAATATAAGTCATTGTTCCACTACTAAATTGTCTATTTTACTTACTAGTACACTTGGTACAATCAAAAACCTGATAATAAATTGTTCAAATAAGGCCTTTAAAAAAAGTGGAATTAACTACTTTTGGAGTGTCAAAAACTCGTTGGAAGTACTTGATAAATTGCATGCATATATTGGTGATTTTGAATCTGTTCAAAGTTTTGATTTTTCTACCCTATATACCACTTTGCCTCATATTCTTATTAAGAAAAAATTCACACACCTGATTAAATGGGCATTTAAAAAGTCGGAATGCGAATACATATGTTCAAACTCTTTAAGGTCATTTTTTAGTAGCAACAAACAAAAGAGCTATGTCAATTGGACATGTTTTGATACTATATCTGCCCTTGAATTTTTACTTGATAACATTTTTGTTCGCTTTGGCGATTCCGTATATCGTCAAGTTATCGGAATTCCAATGGGGACTTACTGTGCACCACTTATTGCGGACCTGTTTTTGTATTGTTATGAGTTACAATTTATGACTAAAATCAGCAAAGACCCATCGAAACAACATCTGATACAAACATTTAACAATACTTTTATATATTTGGATGATATATTGGCTCTCAATAACGACGACTTCAGTATGTATACTAAAGAAATTTATCCTGTTGAACTTACTTTAAATAAAGCTAATACTAACAATGTCCTTTCCTCGATCGTGATATCTATATCATTAACGGGAAGCTTAATACAAAAATTTATGATAAAAGAGATGATTTTTCATTTCCTATCGTTAATTATCCATTTTTAGATGGTGACGTTCCCTCGTCACCATCTTATGGTGTTTATATATCTCAACTTCTACGATTCGCACGTGTATGTAACAACGTATTAGATTTTAGCGAGAGAAATTCATGTATTACTGAAAAAGTATTACACCAGGGTTTTCGATATCATAAACTAGTCAAAACATTTACTAAATTTTATCATCGGTATAAGGACATCATTCGTAAATATAACTCAACATGCAGACATCTTATACGTTCGGGTATTTCACATCCAATCTTTGATGGTAATATTCTTTACAAAGCACAAAAATGTCAGTATTTACCTCAAACGCTAACAAAACCTTTAAACAGACTTATTAAGAAGGGATATAGTTACGATACTGTTGTCAGGTCATTAAAGATTGCATATTTTGGCTTTAATATTGATTCACTTATAGGGTCTTTGCATCGGAATTAAACATATTTATTCTAAAACCTGTTGTTGGCATGACACGGGTTATGTTCTTCTCATATATTTAATGGTGGTATAATACTAAACCCCTAACAGGAGGGATTGTGCCTGATATTCATATGATGAAGACATAATCTTTCAATCAGTTTAATTGAGGTCTGGAGCTGGCATGTCAGTAACTGCTAGTAGTCTGTTGTTATTTATGTATTATTGTCATTTTGTTTATTTTCTTTTGTTTCCTATTCTGACATCGGACTCGGACTTCTTTTAAACTGAGTTTTACTGTGCGTACTGTAGTACGTTTGTTTTTTCTACATTGGCAAGAGGTATAGGGGGAGGGTTGAGATCTCAAACCCCGTTTAACCCCGCCGCATTTTTGCGCCTGTCCCAAGTCAGGAGCCTCTGGCCTTTGTTAGTCTTGTATCATTTTTAATTTTAGTTTCTTGTGTATAATTTGGAGTTTGGTATGACGTCCATTATCACTGAACTAGTATACATATTTGTTTAGGGGCCAGCTGAAGGACGCCTCCGGGTGCAGGAGTTTCTCGCTGCATTGAAGACCCATTGGTGGCCTTCGGCTGTTGTCTGCTCTATGGTTGGGTTGTTGTCTCTTTGACACATTCCCCATTTCCATTCTCAATTTTACTTATTCGATAAGATGGAAGAAGATATTTAGTTTCTTTAAAACACATACTAATCACCAATTTAAAAATTAAATATGTTGTATATCATATTTAGTTTCTTTAAAACACAGACTAATCACCAATTTAAAAATTAAATATGTTGTATATCATATTACTAGTATACATAACTAAATAATTAAATAAAAAGATATAGGATTTTTTGCTTGTTATTGGAGAGTTTATGATATCTTGTCTGAAGAAAAAAATATGTTTACTGGACTTTGCGTCGTTCAGCTTTTTTATATGAATAATTAATACACACTTGATTCGTGGATTCAATAAAGTTGTTACTGGTCAGAAATTGATCAATAATAAGATAGTGAAAAATAAACCGACTAAGACGTATAACATGCATTAGACGCATAAATAAAGGCAACAGTAGTATATCGCTGTTCAAAAGTCATAAATCGATTGAGAGAAAATAAATCCGGGTAACAAACTAAAACTGAGGGAAACACATCAACTATAAGAGGAAAACAACGAAAAAACAGAACACAGAAGTGCAACAAAAAACAAACAACAATGCAACATTCATAGAAACGAACTATTAAATAACAACTGCCATATTCCTGACTTAGTACAGGACATTTTAAGAAAAAAATGGTGGGTTGAGCCTGGTTTTGTTGCTAGACAAACCTCAGCGCTTTATGGCAATGTTAAATATACCGCTAAAATGACAACATTACATAACGGCAACAGAGTACAAATGAATGCAAAAACACCAAAGAAAGAGAAATACATAAATAAATAATATAATAGTACATTTCGACATGTTAACCACAGAATATCACCGAATAACTAAAATAATTTAGGACAGTACACGAAAACAGCTTAAAAGAAATACGAAGTGTGTGTCTGTAACACGAAAGGATCAACGCCATAAAAAGTAACGTCACAGGTAAATTTCTATAAATTGGATATTAATCAAGATTAGGTTTCTAATTATGTTATTTGATGTATTTTATAACAATTACTATAAGAATATTAATATAGAATTGTGTTAGTAATAGTGCAACTAACTATGTCGGCCTTTCTTCCAAATCAAACTGTGTAAAACAAATAAATCCTGTGTAAAACAAATAAATCCTGTGCACATCGTTGTTTTAAACTAATACCATACAAATGAACTGAGTGATTAATCATCTTTACTTTTACAAACGAATAGAAAATAAAAGATAGAATCACAACTACAAACTATAAGACACAAAACAATATCCGATCAGAATTACAAATAAAACTTAGTAACTAAAGATTCAGACAGATTTATATGAATCTATACGGTAACGTCTTATATGATATATCAATAACGTGATGTCGTTAATTGATACGACGTGAATCTCGTGAATGGATATGACAATTTGTTAATCAGGTTATCAAGCATATTAACGAAAGATACAATCTTGATGAATCGAATACGTCACTTGAAGTTACCTTTATTTTCTATCTAGTTGCGAAAATCATAAAATGTGTATTTCTTATTGACAACAATTGTTTACCGATGTGTGGTCAAAACGAACAAGTCTAAACTGAATATAATTAAATGTTCATAAAATTAATTTACATACTGACTATATTTAATTTTCGATGAAATAATTTCATTGAAATCAACTATCAGTTTTTCGGATATGGAACGGATTCCGGAAATCCTTCGTCGTCATTGAATGATTATTTTGCTATTACGAATAAAGGTAGTATCGCTGGGATTTTTGTTTCAGTCTAGTAGTAAGTTTAGCTTTACTCCTATCATGAGACGTTTAAACCATAGACTGCATAATACCTTTAATGTGCAGTGTGAGTTTGCACTGTATGAGGGATTATTGGTCATACAAATGCTTTATAGATGTATTGATAACTCAGTGTCATTATCACATCAATCAAATTTTAATTTGAATGGTGGTGGTTAGATTAGAAGTAGAAAGACATTCTTGTTGAGGAGTTGTAATATAAGGATACATATAAAACATGAGAAATGTTGATTGCAGTAAAATAACTGCATTTTATATCATTGATATTTTCTATTTAAAGATAAGCATTGCATTAAAAGTTGAATTTTGATGACGACATATCCAGTCACATTGATAATCTTTACGCCATATAACCCAAATTGGTGAGCATTTTTCGGTGTTAATGTAAATGACGCTTTAAACAAGCAATGTCAACTCGGTGAACAATTACTCATTGAGTGCTTGTTGGTTCATCGAGCGGTACTCGAGTACTCGCTAGGGAATATATCTATCACACGGAAACATAAAAATACGTAGTTTACATTCTGTGGTGTGTTGTTAAACTGATGAAAAACCATCTACATAAGTATCTGGAACAAAGAATTAATAGTTCATTACCTACAAGTACTAATTTAGTTATAAAAAAAACAATAATCTAATCAATATAGTTTAATGAACATTTTAAAAACTAATACCGGGGAAACCCATATTAAACAACTGTATTTGGTAATCGTGACGAAAACACGTTTAAGGTTTACAAAGGCGTAAGGATAAGAAGTTCAACTATTTATTGAGGGTTACCATAGAACGCAACGAATTAATGTTATTTGAAAACATTTCCTTGCCAACTATTATTGGGGAAAGTCGTTTTTGAAACTTTGTAAATTACAGTCTTGCAGACGAAAAAATATTTGTTCTGACGATACGAATGTGACAGATTGGCTTAGACTGTTAAGTTTAAAGTGTTAGCCTAGGTAAGAGCCTACGTATTTTGGAGGCATTTTAAATGGCAATTAAGCACATGCATTCGAAACAAAATGTATTTTATATACTAGTATGGTTAATAAGTGGTGCCTATTAAATTTTCCGAAAGAGGCACCCAAGAAGATCAATTTTATACAAAGACAGCAATATTCTAACAGGAAACCGACTAGTCGAGGATCGTTTTGGTAATATATACGCCGTACGCGAGTAATCGTTGACATCCCTTTTTTAAACTGTTGCTTTTTTTCTAAATTATATGAATTGCCTAACCAAAACAAGGACAATCATAATATTTTTAGGGATTACAAACTTAAAAATAAACTGCATTTAATACGATTGTTTAAAAGCTTACAAATACAATCCAATAATATTTCATAAGATTTAATATATTGATCACAATAGCATATGATATATAATCAAAATTGCTATCATCAACAATTCAACGTATTTAGATTAAGAGCGATTGACTTCAGAAAGTTAAAAAATTGCCATTTAAACCAAGGTTTAATACACCACATTTGTCTTTCGAAAAATGCCTGCACCAAGTTAGGAATATGACAGTTGTTTTCCATACGTTTAGTTGATTGATAAATTTGTTAATTTGTTCATTACCAATTTGTCAGTATTAAATTATTATGATTAGGAAAGCTCAAATCCAAATATTTGAAAGCCAATGATGTATAAGAACCGAAACAGTTAAAGAGCTATATGACTACAAAGGACCTAAAAATTATAGACAAATTCCAAATGGCTCCATTTTGCCTGACAGATTTTGAGCCTTAGTTTCTTTAAATTTCTAAATAGATAATCGGACACTTTTACATCTGTAAATACCACAAAGGTCATCTGATTTTTAAATACCGATAAAGTCGTATTCCAGACATTTTGACTGGGTATATATTCGCATAGTGGACGATGTATGCATACCACGAGTTGCTTAAATTGTCGATGCATATGATCTCGCTCTTTTTAGAGTTCATGTGAAACTTCTGGTTTTTTTACTTAATTTGTTTATAATGAATTTATGAGATTTAAACATCGGTCATCTATGCACTGTTCTTGTCGTCGTTGAAAATTAATAGGCTGACGGAACATTCAAACGAATTATAATACAATATTTTTTAATGAATAAGCTTAAGCATTCTTCAATGTAACAAACAAATATAGTTATAATTACTCTCAATGTCCAATGACCTGAAATTATGCTTAGCTAATTTTTAAAGCACTATACCTGCTATTTTCATCACAATCTTGAACTTCACTGCCTTCTCGTTGTTAATGGTATCACATTGATATGTTCCTTCGTCATCTTTCGTGAAGTTATTTAGCTTTAAAATGTATTCACCAGCTGTAAAATTGCCAGATATCTTTATTCTTCTTGAATGAGGGATGTCAATGTTAACTTTGTTGTTAATGGCATAGGTAGAGAGTTGTTGCGGCCCTCGCCATATTATAGCATCCGTGGTTTTCTTGAATGGACAGTTTAATTCCGCTGTTGAGCCTAGTGTCATACATAGCTCAATAGAAACTCCTACACCTTAAATGTAGAACACTTACTTCTTTCATAATTCAAAACTGCATTGATATTTTTGAGGCAACACTTGTATGCGAAATCCTGTAGGGATTTACGTTTCTACCTGTGTTGGTACTTTATGACACTTGGTTTTGTCCTGACTCCAACAGGTGTCATGAAGTACCAATGTAGTAACTTATAATTGGAAAAGTATCCCAATATATTTTTACATCCCTTCACTTACAAACTGTGATTTCTTTTATTATGATTGGAAGATATTTAAAAAAAAACAAAAAAACATGAAACAAATTGAGAAATGTATGAAGTATATTTTTTCATTGTTTATACATATCAGGGTTTTGTATACGTTGGTGCGCGAAAACTTTTTAAATTAAAACACGTCTTAAATATAACATAATAATAGGATCCTAAGGGCAATTTAAGAGCATACATTCTGCGATCGCTTGGCAATTACTACGTTCATTGTAGTTACATATTTTGTTGATAGAAAAGTAAAGCAAATTTAAGAGAAAAGAAAAGTATTGAATAATTGATATTGATATAATCTTGAAAATTATCATCCTGTTACTACACATTTCACTTTATAGATGATGTTCTCTCACTAAATAATTCAAAATTTAGTGACTATGTTGAACGTATGTATCTCATCAAAATTAAAATAAAGGTTACCAAATATATCGTTTAGTCGGTCGCATACCTTGCCTTGCGTCTCGAAATTGATAATGAGTTCAAAACTGTCCAACATAGGGGTTTATGTCAGCTTTACAATTGTGAACTTTCCTTTTTTATATAGCAAAATTTAAGCAACGCCTTCTAATATGGAGCATATTTCTCTCAGTTGATACGATATTTTAGAGCTTGTTATTCCTATTATGATTTCCTTGATAGAGGGTTGCAGGGAACAATGAAGGTATTGAACACAATGTTTCAAAGTTGTTAAGTTTAGGACATCCCTTCAAACGTTTTACGAACGCCATCGCGAGTTGCTTGACCGTCATACGATATTTGAGGCCGAAATTACATAAGTTATGTTCTAACAGACCTTTCCACAAACCTGTTCTTCTTTCGCCGATTGTGACATCACTGAATGAAATGTGTCAACCATGAGCAACACGATGGTAGCCACTAGTGGAGCAGGATGTGCTAACCTGAAATCAAACACGGTGTTGGTGGTTTGGTTCGTGTTTCGTAGTATTTGTACCTCTATGAAGCGTTTTGGGGACTTTTTGTGATGCCGTTGTCAGCTTATCTCGAGTTTACAATGTTTCCTTTGGATTCTTCTGACTCAATTTTAATATGTAGCTGCTACATGTATTAACGTGTTATCTTACTTCAAATGTGAAAGATACAAGGACAATGCTTCAATTGTATATGTAAACATTGGTGCGTAAATTATAAACAGGAAAATCCGAAAGAAGGAAACAATAATAAGTATAAAACTTTCATCTCAGTTTTTCCTTTAAATGGGTATACAAGCTGTTGTTTTAATTACAGCCCTTGGATGGTGTAAACTTCCAAAAACACGTGTCTGGTGTTATGGTGTATGGCATATGGTGCAATGGTAGAAGGTGTACATGTATGGTGTTATGGTGTATGGTGTAAGGGGAATGGTGTAATGGTGTAACGTGCGATCGGGAATGGTGTGACTGAATGGTGTACGACATTTAAAACTATGCAAAATATTGATAAGAACTGATTTTTAATTTTATACTTTAATTTACAATATTGTGATCAAAATTCGTTTTTTAAAATAAATAAATAATTTTGTAGTCGCACGCTTTCTTTGAAATTTAATTGCATTGTGGTGTAATATGTTAGGTGTATCGTGCAAAGGTGTAACGTGCATGGTGTTATGGCACAGGGTGTGTGGTGTAATGGTGTATGGTGAATGGTGTAATGATGTATGGTGAATGGTGTAATGGTGTATGGTGTTAATGGGAAGCTTACACCATCCAAGGACTGTATTATTTTGTTTTAAGTGTAAATTAATACATATAATCCTCCACTCACCAGCAAGAAAGGCAGAATAAATGTACAATATAATTTCTTGATTCCAGATGTTGCACATATCTGAAAATACGGATATCATATCTTTATTGGTTATGATATACAGTTTATTGTATAAAAATTTTCAATTAATTATGATCATTATCTTTTATATTAATTTATGTGTTTACTTTATGTGAAAGCTTCCGAATGTTCCTTCGTAAACCACTGCTAATGGTTTTAGGTGAAAGGACCATATGATAATGATAATGTAAGAATTACCAATGAAAAAAAAAATCGACAAAAATCGCATTTGAAAGACGCCACATTTACATTTTAAGATCCTTTTTTTTAATGTTAAAAAAATGATAACTTTACCAATCATTTTTTCTGAATCGGAAGGTAATCTCTTCATGTAAAAATCTGTTATTCACTTTATTTGACTAATATTCAAGTATGTAGATATAATTATTGACAACAATGCAGTTTACATAATGTCTCCTTTTCGGAAATTTTACGATCGTCGTCATGATTTGCCCGTCTGTTTCATATATTGCTCTTGATATAATGCACTAGTCTCTGCCACACTCAAGTTTTCCTTTCTGTAAGTGACACAGAGTCACCAAGTTCAACTAATCGTCGACATTTTACTTACAACGAAATTCAAGACGATTCAAACAATGGAACAGCAATAGGTGACTTTTTTGGAGCACTTGAGTTCACCACAGGTTTTAAGGGTTTTTTGTCAGTAGTCTTTTCTGAACTTAAAAATTTGTTTGTTACTTTCGTCCGTTTTAAAGTTTCATGTTTTTTCTCCAAGTGGTAAATTAAAATTGAAAATGGAGATGGGGAATGTGTAAAAGGACAACAACCCGACCAAAAAGCAGAAAACAGCCGAAAGCCACCAATGGGTCTTCAATACATCGAGAAAATCCCGCACCCGGAGGCTTGCATCAGCTGGCCCCTAAACAAAATATGTACTAGTTCAATGATAATGGACGTCATACTAAACTTCGAAATAAACTAATTAAACTTAAACATCATACAAGACTAACAAAGACCAGAGGTTCCTGACTTTGGACAGGCGCATACATGCGGCTGGGTTAAACATGTTTTTTTTTAGATCTCAGCCCTCCCCCTATACATCTAGCCAATGTAGAAAAAACAAACACACATCAATACGCACAGTAAAACTCATTTCAAAAGAAGTTAAACACTTCTGTCTTTTTTTATTACTTTTTGTTGGCTTAGTGTACCTTTTCCTTCATATTTTCCACCTGCACATTTCTTTTGTAATATTGCTTGGACACTATTTTAAAATCAAGAGAGTTTTGTTCCCATACCGTTATTTGCTATAGATATTTTGAGAACAATCGGTCTGGTCATGTTCAAACAACACACAAAAAATAGATATAATAGACGGCAACATAGAGACTATTACATTTTATGCATACTATAAAACCAACTTTAATGCGAATTTGTCTAACTTTTGTGTCTTGTCATATATAAATACATCAACAATAGCCCTCCCCCTATACATCTAGCCAATGTAGAAAAAACAAACACACATCAATATGCACAGTAAAACTCATTTCAAAAGAAGTTAAACACTTCTGTCTTTTTTTATTACTTTTTGTTGGCTTAGTGTACCTTTTCCTTCATATTTTCCACCTGCACATTTCTTTTGTAATATTGCTTGGACACTATTTTAAAATCAAGAGAGTTTTGTTCCCATACCGTTATTTGCTATAGATATTTTGAGAACAATCGGTCTGGTCATGTTCAAACAACACACAAAAAATAGATATAATAGACGGCAACATAGAGACTATTACATTTTATGCATACTATAAAACCAACTTTAATGCGAATTTGTCTAACTTTTGTGTCTTGTCATATATAAATACATCAACAATTTTCGATTTTTATTAACAAGATGGCTAGAAATGGGCATTCTGAAACAAAACAGTAAAAATCGGTTCACAGCGCAGTATTTTTAATTACAGCAAACGTATAATTTCAACTATACAAATGTGCATGAATAATTACAGATAGCATATATTATGAGTAACATCATGCAAAATCACAACATGATTGGTTGCAAGGTCATGTCATTCAATTTCTCGTAAAGAGTTCAAAATTAGCAAAACTGTCCTATGAAAATATGAAATATGCATTCTCACCGATTTGATATGATGTCTATAAAGTCCTTCTATTGCGAAAATATATCAGAAATTATTTTTTACTTTTGAATAAAATACAAATACCTAGTTCATGACAGATGTATTTCCTTATTGAATTGTGCACAATATAAAATATTGTCGTTGGAGATTTTCCGAAAATTAAAAAACAAAAACAAAAACACAAATAAATCACTTGAATTCTTGATAACAGGATACAATTTAACAAATTAGATATTTAAGTACAAAACTTAATTTCCTAATAAGCGATTCATAATAATATTAGTCCATCTAGGATTAAAAGAATAGAGTAAACTCTTTAGCACAAAAGGTATCGTGCTTCTCTAGAGTGAACAAAGAAAATATTTTTTTTCGATTTTGTGCTTTTCGAACAAAATGCAAACCATTTGTGAGAGAAGAAACCCTTCTGAAAATAACTTATCGGAAAAAAATACATGACATGACATATTAAATAGCTTGAAGTCATTATAGGAGTGGGTTTTTGATAATGAACAGAAGGCAATAGATCTCACTGCTAAAAGTTTCAAATAGTTTAAAAGTGTATTAAGATTTTTGCATAAAAAGTGGTTGCCATTTAAGGCTACAAATTAAAAATTACTGCCTTTTCAACAGTGTTTTGGACACATTTTGATTCTGGGTTTGTGAATAGATGTTTTCCTGTATACCGGTTTTAATATGCAACAATTATAAATAACAAATTGTGTGGCGCCAAGATTTTCAATTATTCTATATATGTGTCCGTCCTTACTATTAGTTATAATTATACGCAGGTCCATATTCTGAATTAAGTATCATAATGAATAATCAGAAGAAAATAAATGAATATTTTGATAATGTTGTTGAATAAGTACAGACTTGGAAATGTCCGATCAAAAGACAGTGTAATTCATTTGAATATTCTACGTAACTTTTGATCCGGTTTCTTCAAGAAAAGACCTCCAATGTATTCCAGAATAAAATATTTTTCCTGGTTTTCAACGTTTGTTTATTTCCTATTCTTCTTTAGGTATACATTTATCCATCAGATTTTGATAACTAAAAACTACTAACTATTTTAACTTGTGTCATCGTTGAATTCAGGGCATCTGATAAGTTGAGTAGTATTACACCTCTATGGCACCTGATATACCTTTAGTTCGTATTGACAAATGTTTTATCTTTAATAGTTTACTGTTCACAAGTCTTCACCTGTGTTCCATGTGCCCACCATTTGTGTTTACATTAATGACACATGTATAGTGTTGATGATGATAATGGTGACCTCTAGATGTATGTTGATTATTTATGTCGTTGACATACATACCAAATTTCTTTTTCTCGTCACCACTCGACCAATTTTTGCATCAGAGATTAAGAGCAACTTTAGATATATACTATTTCGTCAAGATATTGACTAATGTAAAACAAATTGTAGCAAGCATCATAATAAAGAATAACCAATAAAGGTTTTGATGGCAATCAGGCAATCGGGCCAACATTACAAAATGATTTTATAAATACTGTTCTATTGCTTTTAGTGTGTTTTTTTTTTTATTTTATTTTTTTTTTTTTTTGTGTCACGGGTAGATATCCTACGTCTTTTCTTTTCTATTTACATAAAGTGTAATGTTGTTTTTGTCATAGCCAGAATCGGAGTTTGAGAACAAACAAATGCGAGACGATCCAGGCAAAAGGATGAAAACAACCAAAAGAAACTTGTAAATTTTGTCTAATTGTAGACCCATTGGATTTTGTATGCAATAGCTTCTTTTGAATCATCAGGACCAAAGTCAAACGCGATAACTGTTTAGAGTTACCATTGAAGTCACTGATAAAGGATGATTATACTAATAGACTCGCTTAGTTTTATTACACTAGGAATTATCTGTTGTTGACAACTGTGATTGTCTTCTGTATATTTTTCGTTAGGTGCTTATCTCATATCCGAATTCCCACATCTCCTTTTACCCTGATCATGCCTGACAACAATTTCCTGGAAGTATTGTCAGTTTTAAGCAATTTGAAAGTATCCAGTTATCATCAAACGCGTAATAACATTAATGGTTCCAATTTTTCTGATGCAGGAGATACGCCTTCCGACGATGAATGTCTCTTCACTGATGCTCGAGTAAAAAAACGGATCTGTGTGTAATAACTTTTTTCATGACAACGAAGGAAAACTTTAACAACTCATGATTACTTATACATCACTTACATTGCAACTGATATTTTCAACATCCGTCTTGAAGATTTAGATTGTCGGTTGCTTATGGTACATAGTCAACTCACCCTGAAAATTGTGACATATGAAAAATATTCATTGCGTTTGTAAGATGATAGAGACTTAAGTAAGTTCGTTTCTAGTTATTGCTCTGATTTTACTAGTCATAACTCTTTAAAAGCAAATACTGGTGTATCTAAATATGTGCCATAGCACATGTTGACGATTATAAAGATGCGGAAATAAAAACAGACGAGCAAACTTTACTTTATGTGCAATAGAACGACATTTGCCAACATTAAGTTGTTGTCTTTATACTATAAAAGTATAATATTATATTCATAAAGTAAAACGAAATACATGTTGGCTTCGGCTCTTTGGTCGGTATGTTGTCTCTTTGACACATTCCCCATTTCCATTTTAAATTTCATCAATAAAACAATATATAAGTGTGACTATTACTTATATTACCCGAGATGTCATGTCTACAGGTCAGATGTATAGCTAGTTTTAGTCTACCTACATATCTACCTACATACGCTTTGTAAAGTTTATGTTTCTGGTTTTACGCCCAAAGCCGGATATTTGAAGGCCAAAGATGTTAAAACACCGAAACATGTGAAAGGCTTTATGAAAAAAATAGGATCATAAAAGGTGTACCCATACTATCCAATATGGGAACACAATGTTGTTTATTGTTTATAAATGCACGTACACGATAACGGCCTATCAATCTGACCTGTAGACAATTAAGTCTCTATATATGATATCAAAGTGTATCGTCCATTATCATCATTGACAGAACATTTGAAGTATCCGGTGGGTCTTAACATACGGTTTTAGGTACAGACGTGCAGCTGGGGTTTAACTCCCACCCCATTCATATATTAGAGTTGTGTGAAAAATTTGAAACCCGTAATACTATGGGGGAAATTATAACACATAATTATATTTCACAGTTATCATACATATATCATGTATATGCAAGCAGTGACCAATAGAATAGACTTAAAAGGATTTTTTCACTTGTGTTCATAAATTTTTTTATTGGTGACATGCAATCATTCATATCAATAAGATTTTACTAGAACATAATGCAGAAATTTATTCGGTAGATGAAAATCAATGACCTATTACTGTATTATCTTCGTGAAAATAGCTCCCGATTAATATATTTGACAGCACGTCTGTGTATACCTTAATATAGAAAGGGGCTCCATGTTCCCCATGCCCACCCTCTCCTCCACTTTCCTTTCAAATGGTTGTTATACGTGCAAAATAATTTTCACGACACATAGGGGGAAGTACCCGGTATGAACATCTAAAATTCAAAAGTTCACAAGAGTTATCTTTTGTTGGATGATATTTCTATTGTAAACTAAAATATCATTTTTACTGAGTACTAATTTTTCTTGTAAAATTTAATTCTTCAAACATTTAATTTCCGAATGATCATACTTTCATCACCCTAGACCAAATTAGTTCGGATGTGAAATATATATCCAGTTGAAGTAGTGTATGATCTCTGCATTAAAACAAAAAGGCAGGTTCTTTTATTTTTATTACAGTCTGAAGGTTAATTTACAGAGTACACTGAGTTGTTCGGCTTAAACATAATATATTTTGTTTGTGCTTGTATATGATTGCTATTTGTTACAGACTATAATTATAATAATTCATATTGATAATTAACTAATTAGTTTGTGGAAGTATGCTTCGACATACCTCCTAAAAATGATTGCAAAGAATAACAAAAGAAACGTTAAAAGATAGAGCAAGTCACACTTCGTGCTGTAAATAGACACTACTTTGTGGAAGTATGCTTCGACATACCTCTTAAAAATGATTGCAAAGAATAACAAAAGAAACGTTAAAAGATAGAGCAAGTCACACTTCGTGCTGTAAATAGACACTACCAATACTAATGCACAACATATTTTCCTTAAATCTTCCTATTAGAGAGATGTATGTTTACAAATTAAATAAAATATAATTCACCTTTCTTTTCAAATTCAAATTTAAAATTTCATACAGATTTTCAAGGGAAATCATTTGGGTATACCCATTCATGTTTACGAGCTATTTAATAAAATAGTGTAAATCTAAGTTGATAAAGAAGGTGTCGTAGTTTTATCCATGGTCATAAAATGTTTGATTGCAAGTTGAAACAAACCATTTCGAGTACCACTGGCCTGGTGAATCTTCATGGGAACTGTGAAGACCAGATTCTACGATGGGTACTGGTATGATAGTGTTAAAACATTATGTACTATCATCTTGCTATCAGTAAAGCGTTTTTTTTTCCACTCAGTATATTTGTGTCCACTAGTCAGATTCGATATTCGAAAAGAGGAGTCATTGCAGCCGTTTAGTTCTTTTTAAATATAGATTTGTTTATTTTTAGTTTGACTGTTAACTATACGTTTTTGACTTTTTGTATTGAAATTCCGTGTGTGTAAATTTTGGCCATTTAACGTGTTAATAGTGTTCTCAATTGCACATGAAGTTGGTGTAATAAATCTGCTATAAAGTACAGCAAACGATATATATGTGGGACTCTGAACCGCGATGGTACTCCGAACAAAATTCCGTGTAAGTGACTATAACTTGGAAATTGAAATAGGTCATATAAATAAAATCAAAGAGAACACAGAGTGTGTAAAGTTTGTAAACTTTTAGATGATGAGGAACACCTTTTTCTTCATTGCCAAATATACAGTAATATTAGAAATCCCCTTATGAATGTAATTAAAACGCATTATTCTAATTTTAACCAGCTTGACTCAAACTCTAAACTTAAAACTATTTTGAAGATATTTTGTCTAGTGTTGAAGGTTATATAAAGCAATCCTTTCAATTGCGAAAATAAGTTACACATTGGTCAATTATCTATATACTTATGTATATATTTCTTATATAAACTTGACTTGTTTATGACTCTTTTCAAGTATTGAATGATTCTTGTGTGTACTATGTTTGCATTTTATTCAGTCAGGGTTTTAAATTTATGTAATAAAGATATGGACTATAAATAAAAAAAACACATGGAGAGCTATATTAACAAAAGGAACATAAAACGTGTACCCAAACTATCCAACACAAATCACTTTTTTTAATTTTAACGCAAAGGATAACGGCCTATACATCTGACCTGTAGACAAGTCACTTTGAAATAAAAATCTGTTCGTCCTGTTATACATGCCACATTGAACACCATCATCATTATTATGACAACTGAAAGTTCGGGTTGGTCTCAACATAATGTTTAAGGTACGGACGTTCAGCTTCGAATTAACTCCCACCCCATTCATATGCTGGTACTACTATTACATTTTTATGAAAATCCTGGCCCCTATATATATATTTACATAGAACTCGTAACCTATTCGTATATTTCGCATTTATCACATATTTTCAAGTTTGCAGTGACCACTTAAATGTCTTGAAAAGGAGTTGATAAATGTTTTATTGATCACATGCATTCGTTCATATCAATACGATTTCGAAAGCATAAAGCAGACATATATTCGGTAGATAAAAATTAATGACCTATTACTGTATTATCTTGGTGAAAATAGCACCCGATTAATATATTTGACAGATAAAAAAGGGACGAATTTAAGAGCACGTCTGTTTCTACCTTCATATAGAAACGGTTGACCTGTGCCCCGTGAGCCCTTCCCTCCTTCCTAATGGTAATTGGACTTACAAATGTATTTGGAAACAGGGGGAAATACCCGGTATGTCAAACTCTAAAATTTGAAATTTCACAAGAGTTATCGTTCGTTGGATAATATTTCTATCGTAAACTAAATATTTTTGCTGTGTTTTAATTTTTTTGTTAAATCTAATTCTTTAATCTTTTTATTTCTTAATAATTATACTCTCATCATCCTAGACCAAATTAGTTCGGAATTGAAATATATATTTATTTGAAGTAGTGAAGGATCACTGTGTTAAAAAAAGGCAGATTCTCTTATCTTTTATTACAGTCTATGGTTAAGGGTAGAGTACACTGAGTTGTTCGGCGTAAACATAATAGAATCTTTATAGTATTTATAATTTATAAAATCGTCTCGTTTATCATAGAATATGGTACTAAGATGACCGTTTATGTCAAATTCGAGGTACAAGTCTAAAGATGATGCAGAGGAAGCCGTGTCGGTTGTTTCTAGAATTTCTACTTCTACCTCTGGAGGATATATTTATGAATCAGAAAGTTGGATTTTGTACGGAAAGAACATCATCAATATATCTAGATGTGAAGTT